TCAGGCTGGTCTTGAACCCCTGAGCTCAGGCAATCCTCTTGCCTCTGCCTCACAAAGTGCTGAGATTACAGGCATGAGCCACTGTGCTGGCAGGTGGCTTTTCTTTATCCAAGAAACACATTGTGCTTTTTCTCATCTAAGGGGCTTTGATCTTGTTGTCCCTTCAGCTTCGATGCACTTCCTTGAAATCTTTGTTAGTCACATTTTCAACTAAATGCCTTTCTTCAGAAAGGCGGTCCTTGACTCTACCATTGTCATCTAAAGATGTGCTGTTCAATACACACATGTACTAGTTAAATGCGGCTATTTATATTTAAATTAAATAAAAATTTAAAATCAGGCTGGGAGTAGTAGCTCACGCCTGTAATCCTAGCATTTTGGGAGGCCGAGGTGAGAGGATTGCTTGAGCCCAGGAGCTTGAAACCAGCCTAGGCAATATAGCGAGATCTTGTCTTTAATTAAAAAAAAAAAAAAAAAAAAAGCCGGGCTCGGTGGCTCAGCCTGTAATCCTGTGCCTTTGCAAGGCTGAGGTGAGTGAATTGCCTGAGCCCATGGGTTCGAGACCCACCTGGGCAACTTGGTGAGACCTTATCTCTACAATAAATAAAAAATTAGCTGGGTGTGGTAGTGCTTGCCTGTAGTTCCAGCTACTTGGAAGGCTGAGGCGGAAGGATCGCCGGAGCCCAGCAGTCGAGGCTGCGGTGGTGAGGAGCGGCCACTGTACTCCAGTCTAGGCAAGAGAGTGAGACTCCAACTCAACAACAACAACAAAAAAATTAGCTGGGTGTTGTGCTCATTCCTATAGTCCCAGCTGCTCTGGAGGCTGAGGCCAGAGGATCACCTGAGCCCAGGAGGTTGAGGCTGCAGTGAGCCATGATCATGCCACTGTACTCTAGCCTGGGTGACAGAGTGAGACCCTGACTCAAAAAAAAAAAAAAAAAAGAATTGAGATGGTTGTAAATAACTTTCAGGATTCCAAATGGAATTAGTCAGGGCCTTAACCACATTATGACCATTTCACATTGTTTTGTGATATCACAGAATGCTTGGATATTGAATGAGCAGTTCGTATTTGCTTTGGTTAAACAACGAATAAGGGATTATTAGAGCAGAGCTGTGTTTTCTTGACTTAGTTGGTTTTGCTAACAAATCTAGAACTATCAAGACTATTTTGAAAACACAAAAATCTGTATAGGCAATTACATATTGCAACTGAGCAGAAATACCATTAAAGTTCAAACTTGGAAAACCAGCCCAGATGTTACAGATTAGTGGCAGAATATTGTCAAGATATGCTAATCCTATTTCTCTTGATAAACATTCTGATGTTTCATTGTCCATTTAGCAATTAAAGCTAAATATATTTTGTGGTTTAACACATTTTTTTTTTTTTTTGAGTTGGAGTCTCACTCTGTCACCCAGACTGGAGTGCAATGGCCGCTCCCGGCCACGGCAGCCTCGACCCGCTGGGCTCCAGGGATCTTTCCGCCTCAGCCGTCCAAGTAGCTTGAATTACAGGCATGCGCTACCATGCCCGGCTGATTTTTTGATTTATTGTAGAGATGAAGTCTCACTGCCCAGGCGGGTCTCGAAGCCATGGACTCAGGCAATCCACTCACCTCAGCCTCCCAAAGGCGCGGGATTACAGGCTGAGCCACCTAGCCTGGCTGGTTTAACACATTTTAATGATTTTGCTACAGACTTATTATTAGAAAATCTTTTTCAATATAATAAATTTTATCTTGTCAGAATTGAGAAATCAATATGGTTGTTTGTATTACTCCAATCCATAAAATAATGCCCAAGTATGCACAATATGTGTATAATTTTCAGTATTTTTAAAATTTAAATTTAATGCATAACTTAATATTATTTGTGCTTTCATATTTTTAATTTTAACCTATGACTAGTAGAGATCTTAATTTATATTGATATTATTAATGTTCCATCTACAGCAAATAAACTTATTCATAAGGGTTACAAATAAAATTGGCACCAGGGTGAAATCTATTTGTCTTCCTTGGTCCATGGAAGGAAAATACAGTTAGGCTCTAAATGTATTCCATTTCTTCCCTTTTTGGGGGGGTTTATTTTGTGAATATGTTACACAAGCACAGGTACAAAATTCAAAAGCTTTAAAAGGGTATACTCAATGGAAGGTAAGTCTGTCTCCTACCTCTGACCTCCATATAGTTCCCCATTCCCAGAAGGCAAGGACTGTAGCCAGTTTCTTGCATATCCTTCTAGAAGCACTCTATACTATACATATACAAGCAAATACATGTATATTACATATGCTGCTTCAGTTAGTTCTATCAACAAATTCTAAATTAGGCATTCTAATTTCTATTTTTCATATGAAGAAACTAAGGCTCAAGAGAAGTAATTTGCCCATGGTCAATCCCAGGGAATTGGGATTGATTTACATTTTTCATTAAAAAAATATTTTTTGGCAGTTTTACTTCTTTGAAAAACTTGCCCACGGCAGTTCTTTCTTTCATGAATCTTTCTTTTTTTTCCATTCCTCTCTTTCTCTTGCTAATAAACTTTGTTTTAAAACTTAGAAAAAAATTTTTTAGGGTCTTTCTATGTTGTCCAGGCTGATCTTGAACTCCTGGGCTCAAGTGATCCTCCCACCTCTGCCTCTTGAGTAGCTGGGCCTATATAGGCATGTGCCACTGAATCCAGCTCTGGAGCTGGGATTCAAACAGAAGAGTGTATGACTCTAGAGCCTGGGCTTGTTTCACCATCTCATACCATCATTCTCACATCAATTTGTTAAATTATGAGAAGAGGGCTGGGCACGGTGGCTCATGCCTGTAATCATAGTGCTTTGGGAGGCTGAGGTAAGAGGATCACTTGAAGCCAGGAACACGAGATCAGCCTGGGGAATATAGTGAAACCCTGTCTCTGTAAACAATTAAAAAAAAATTTAAATGAGCCAGGCATGGTGGTATGTACCTGTAGTCCCAGTTACTTAAGAGGCTGAGATGGAAGGATCACTTGACCCTGGAGTTCAAGGCTTCATTGAGCTATGATCACACCAATGCACTCCAGCCTGGGCAAGAAAAAAAAATTTTTTTTTTTTAGTGAAAATTTTTTTTAAAAATTAGAGAGGAAATAAGTCTTGTCCAAGAGAGACAGGCCCAAAATTCAGAAGCTCAGACATGTGTTTTTATTTTTTACTTTTTTTATTTTTTTGAGTTGGAGTCTCACTCTGTCACCCAGGCTGGAGCGCAGTGGCATACTCACGGCAACTGCAGCCTCAACCTGCTGGGCTCAGGTGATCCTTCTGCCTCAGCCTTCCAAGTAGCCGGCACACGCCACCACACCTGGCTAATTTTTTGATTTATTGTAGAGATGAGGTCTCACCAAATTGCCCAGGCTGGTCTCGAACCTGTGGGTTCAGGCAATCCTCTCACCTCGGCCTCCCAGAGTGCTGGGATTATAGGCGTGAGCCACCATGCCCAGCCAGTAATGTGTTTTGATAAGTTAGGATGTGGGGCCGGGCACAGTGGCTCACACCTATAATCTCAGCACTTTGGGATGCCAAGGCTGAAGGATTGCTTGAGCCCAGAAGTTTAAGACCAGCCTAGGCAACACAGCAAGACCTTGTCTCTACCAAAAAATAAAAAGATTAGCCAGGTGTGGTAGTGTGTGCCTACAGTCCCAGCTACTCAGGAGGCTGAGGTGGGAGGATCACCTGAGCCCAGGAAGTCAAGGCTGTGGTGAGCTATGGTCATGCCACTGCACTCTGCACTCCAGCCTGGGTAACAGAGAGAGACCCTGATGCAAAAAAAAAAAAAAAACAAAAAGAGGATGTAGAATTGTCTGGAGTGGGCATGGCAGGAGGAAAGAGGGCCAGTTGGGAGGTGTAGCCAGCAAGATCATGAAGATCTGAGCAAGGAGGGTGTGGATATTGCAAAGATCTGAGCAAGGAGGGTGTGGATGGGCCTTAGAAGCAATCAAATGACGATCAGGAAAGGGGAATCAAAGGTGACACTCTGGTTCTCAGCCAAGTGAGTGGGGAAATGGTGGTGCCCTCAAAAGAAATCAGGAAGTCATTAGCTAGGCATGGTGGCACATGCCTGTGATCCCAGCTACTCAAGAGGCTGAGGGGGAAGTGTAGTCTGAGTCAAGGAGGTTGAGGCTGTGGTAAGCTATTATCATGCCACTGCACTCCAACCTGGGTGACAGAGTGAGACCCCAACTTAAAAAAAAAAAGGTCAGGGCAGTACTTGAATTGTGGAGATTAGCTTATTGACAGACATTGAGTTGCAGGGACTGGTGGGCATCCTTGTGGAGACTTTCAGTAAGGTGATGGAAGTGTGGCTCTGGAAGACAGGGGTGGGGCACAGGTAGAGTAGAGGTTAGACTCAGGAATCACAGGTGAAGGGGTTGGCAGCCAAAGGGGGGAAGAAAGAGATGACAAAGAGCAGGGGGTGGATGGAGACAGGAGGAAGGTCTTCTGGAGATAAGAGACAGGTGGAGTAAGAGGAAGGAGTGAAAGCCATTGAGATGGAGAGGTAAGGGAAGACTAGAATGGTACAGAGCCATGTGAGTCCAGGAAAGGTGAGCATTCCATGGAGCAGTGCAGCCTCCTGACAGTGGCAGATTCTGAGGGTCAAGAATCTTGGGAAAGGTTTGGAATTGAGATCAGGCTGGTGACTTGAGAACATATTTCCTCTGGAGAAGCAAGGGAAAAAACCAAATTTCCTAGAAACTCATAAGGTAACTGGAAAAGAATGGCATCACTATCTTCCTTGGTCCATTTAAAAACTGCTGAATTTGTTTCCTGGGATCTCAGTGTAAAAAAGGGAAAAAACCCAACTGTTGAGATTTATTATCAGTATGTTTTTCATCCAGGAGTCAAAGGACATCACTAACTGAGCAAAATCTCTGCCCTTGTCTGCCCTAATGACTTGAACCCTGTTTCTTGTCCCCCTACCCCCACCCTGTACAGCAGCTGCAGGGTGTCCCAGGGCTGCCCACTCACTTACTCGGATATGCAGGTCTTGGAAGAAGATGAGAAGCGTCTGCCGGATCTGCTGGAACTCCCCAGCAGAAAGACCCCCGTACACCTGCCAAAGGCAAAGCAGAAAGAAGCACTTCCTGTTCAGAAGGGAGAAGAAGCCAGGCATGGTGGCTCATGCCTGTAATCCCAGCACTTTGGGAGGCAGAGGCGAGAGGATTGCCTGAGTTCAGGGGTTTGAGACCAGCCCGAACAACATTGCGAGACCTTGTCTCTACAATAAATTAATTAGCTGGGCATGGTGGTGCATGCCTGTGATTCCAGCTACTTGGAAGGCTGAGGAGGAAGGATTGCTTGAGACCAGCAGGCTGAGGTTGCGGTGGCCATGAGTGTGACATTGCACTCCAGCTTGGGTGACAGAGTAAGACTCCAATTCAAAAAAAAAATAGAAGGGAGAAGAGTGACACAGACAGGCAGGTGTAGGCGGGTGCTCAGGGAGGGGAGTCAGATAAACAGGGAGAGGACTTAGTTGCCAGAGTTGGGGGGCAGTAGCAGGGGCAGCACCAGAGGAACAAATCCTGTTTTGTTCCACCCAAACAGGGGACGCTTCTTCTCCCCTGTCCTCCACACACATGGAGAGTCTGTTCCCTGAGATTTAGCAAAACTTCCACCATCAACTTACTTTCAGAAGAGCAAAGAGAAAATGGCTCTGTTCTGTATCATTGCTTTTCCAACTCTGAAGGTAACAGTAAGGGTCACAGGATGAGAATACCTGTTATATTACCAAAATGGACACTTGTATATGTTTAGAACATTCTAGGAGATAGCAAGCTATGCCATTTCTCATCCCGTTCTCTCTGTCATAGTCTCTGTCTGTTCTTAACAGAGGGATGAGAACAAGTATTCAGGCTGAGCAGTAATAAGCTGGTGATCCTCTTACTTCTATCAGCAGCCGGAAAGTCTCATCCACTTGGTGCAGGATGTTTGGGGAGTCTCGGATGAATCCCTTGATGGCATCTAAATGGTTGAAAGTGACCAGCAGCACATCCTTGGGACAGGGACACAGCAATACTTGATATTTGAAAGCCATAGTCATCAGGTCATAGAGCTGCCAACCCACATACAAACAAATAGGATCGTAAAAAGCAGATGTCAGAATCTCCAAACAACGATTCAGTCAAGCATGTATCAAAAACCAGCTCTGGACTTACCATACAGCTCAGGTGACCATATCAGTTATCATACAAACCAAGAGTAAAAGGGGGTGATATTAATAATTAAGCCAGGACAACGAGAGTAAGTTGGGGCGTTCCTGAGCAAACCAGGATTTCTGATCACTTTATGGGTATTGCTCAAGGAACACATGAAACAACACCGACAGTGGTGGGGTCTTGAACTGGGCACTGGACTTGGAGAAAGAAAGCCCAAATTCAAATACACTTTTGCTGCTGACTTATTGTATGACCATGGCCATGTTTCTTAACCTCTCTGGGCCTGAGTTTTCTCATCTGTAAAAAAAAATACTCCCTAATTTCCTAATGTTTCAGAGTCGTTGAGAGGAGTAAATGAGATGATACGTGTGAAAGTGGCAAGTATAAAGTTTGCAACTGTATAAGAACAATTTTAGGCCAGGCACAATGGCTCACACCTATAATCCCAGCACTCTGGGAGGCTGAGGGGAAAATCTCTACAATAAATGAAAAAATTAGCCAAGCTTGGTGGTACATGCCTGAAGTTCCCGCTACTTGGAAGGCTGAGGCGAAAGGATGGCCTGAGCACAGTAGGTCGAGGTTGTGGTAGCCATGAATGTATCACTTCACTCCAGCCTGGGCAACAGAGTGAGACTCCACCCCCACCCCCCGCCAAAAAAAGAGAACAATTTTAAATAATGAACAATGCGTACTAAGATGTCAACAAGCCATATCAACATAGGTGTGGTATGATCATCCATGAAGGTTCAGAGGGAGAAGTCAGTGAAAACCAAAGTGTCAAGACAGGCTTGTGGCAGATGTGACCTGACACAGACTTTGCAGCAGCCATAGGTTCCAATGGGCTGAGGGGAGAGGAGCCATTCTAGCTGAAAGAAACAGGCCTGGAGACAGCAATGTGTGTTATTTTCCTGGGAGAAAGAGGAGAACAGCCTGAGGACGGTTTGTGTTGGGGTGGTGGGCAGTAAAGTTGGGTAAGTATGGCCAGGTTAGAATATGAAAAGTTTTAGAAAGACAGGCAAATAATTTAGACCATATGTGGCAGAAATTGGGGGGGTTGAAGTGTTCTGAGCTGACATGATAAATGGTGACTAAACAAGATTAGTCAACCTGGCAACGATGAGATGTGAGAGAAGGGAGAGACTGGGACTAGGGCGATTAGCTAGTACCTGGTTACTCTGCAATAAATGTCTACTGAGTGCATGGATGAAAGAAATGTTGGAGAATTCAGTCTTAAGGCCTGGAATAAAGATAGTAGGAATGGAGAAGTCAGGGCAAAGAAGACCACACGATACCTAGAAGGAAAAGCTGTCAGTACATGGCAACTGCCTGCCTAGATCTGGAGGATGAAGGCGAGGGAGGTCCAGAAGAACAACGGCATTGTTCAACCCAGTGCCTAGGAGAGGGTCGATGCTACTGACGGAGGCAAGGAAGTCTGGGGGATGTGGGAGGAGAAGCTGGGAGAGATGATTAGGCTGGTAATGGACATGTCTGGGCAGGATTGAAAATATAAACTACTACCATCTGAGTGTTGTGCCAGACACATTTTTATATATAACCCCACCTGATCCCACTTAATCTTCACAAGAACTCTATGAGGTAGGTATTATCCCAGTTTTAAAATGAAGAAACTTGCTTAATTTCACTTAGCTGGTGAGTGGTAGAGTGAGATTTGAACTCAGGACCATCAGATTCTAAGGTATTTGCTAGAACCCCCTACATGACCTGATTTTTCCCACATGCAGCTAAACATTTCCACTTAGAAAATGGCATACAGGGCTGGGTGTGGTGGCTCAAGCCTATAATCCTAGCACTTTGGGAGGCCAAGACAAGAGGATGGCCTGAGCCCAGGTGTTCGAGACTGGCCTGAGCAACTTGGTGAGACCTTGTCTCTACAATAAATCAAGAAAAATTAGCCAGGTGTAGTGGCACACGCCTGTAGTTCCAGCTACTCAGCAAGCTGAGGTGGAAGGATTGCCTGAGTCCAGCAGGTCGAGGCTGTGGTGGCCGTGAGCACTCCAGCTTGGGTGAGACAGTGAGACTCTGACTCAAAAAGAAGAGAGAGAGAGAGAGAAAGAAAGAAAGAAAGAAAGAAAGAGAGAGAGGGAGAGAGAGAGAAAGAAAGAAAGAAAGAAAGAAAGAAAGAAAGAAAGAAAGAAAGAAAGAAAGAAAGAAAATGGCATACAACAGGAATAGTCTGAAGTGTGTGTGATGACTGTGCCATCATTAGCAAACATTAAGTGTCTGTGTATAGGAAATCATGCTAGAAATAACGGATAAAAACAGGTACAAGATGAAGAAATGAAAGTTCAGAGTTATTCAGTAAATTGAGTCACACAGCTGGTAACTGATAGAGCTAAGACTTGAACACAGTTTTTTTTTTGTTTTTTTTTTGAGTTGCAGTCTCACTCTGTCACCCAGGCTGGAGTGCAGTGGCCCACTCACAGCCACCCCAGTATCGACCTGCTGGGCTCCGGCGATCCTTCCGCCTCAGCCTTCCAAGTAGCCAGAACTACAGGTGTGTACTATCACACCGGGATAATTTTTTATTAATTGTAGAGATGAAGTTGCTCAGGCTGGTCTTGAACCCCTGAGCTCAGACAATCCACTTGCCTCAGTCTCCCAAAGTGCTGGGATTACAGGCTGAGCTATTATGCCCAGCCTGAACTCAGTTTTTTAAAACTTCAAAAATCTGTGTCCTTTCTCTATGAAAACTTTCTTAAAGGAAGAGAGAGAAGATCAAGCAGAACTGAAAAGATAATTAATATTTACTGAACATCTACTATGTGCCAGGCCTAGATATGCTTCTCACTTAATCCTCTGAATAACTGATGATATAGCTGTTGTCACCCCCATTTTGTAGATGATAAAATGGGGGCTCAGGGAGATAAAGTAACTTTCTTCTTGTTTTTGTTTTTTGAATTGGAGTTTCACTCTGTTGCCCAGACTGGAGTGTAGTGGCATGCTCACAGCTACCACAGCCTCAACCTGCTAGGCTCAGGTGATCTATCCATCTCAGCCTTCCAAGTAGCTGGAACTACAGGTGTGTACCACAACACACAGCTGATTTTTTTATTTATGGTAGAGATGCGGTCTCGCCAAGTTGCCCAGGCTGATCTTCAACCCCTAGGCTTAGGCAATCCTCTTGCCTCTGCCTCCCTAAGTATTGGGATTACAGGCCACCATGCTTGGCCTAGCTAAAGTAACTTTCCAAAGGTAAATGGCAGGAGATAAGAGGGCAGTTAAAGGCAGTCTATTTCCCTGAGGCTTCTAAATACCAGTGATAAGTGAGTATTGATTTTGCACACCTACTACCCACCACTAGTCCTTATATTTTAAACAAATTTTCTTTTGTAGAGACAGAGTCTTGCTATGTGGCCCAGGCTAATCTCGAACTCCTGGGCTCAAGTGATCCTCCTGCCTCAACCTCCTGAGTAGCTGGGATTACAGGAGTGAGCCACATGCCCGGCAGTCTTCATGACTTTTAAAAATTCACATAATGGCCAGGCGTAGTGGCTCATGCCTGTAATCCCAGCACTTTGGGAGGTTGAGATAGAAGGATTGCTTGAAACCAGGAGTTTGAGACCAGCCTGGGCAACACAGAGAGAACTCGTCCCTACAAAAAATAAAAAAAGTTAGCCAGGCATGGTAGCGTGTGCCTGTAGTCCCAGCTACTTGGGAGGCTGAGGTGGAAGAACCTCCTGAGCCCAGAAGGTCGAGGCTGTGGTGAGCTATGATTACATCACTGTACTCCTGCATGCGTGACAGAGTGAGACCTTAACCCAACAAACAAACAAACAAACAAATAAATAAATAACGTTCACATAATGGAGAAACTTGAAAAAAAATTATTATCTTTTAAATTAACTAAAGCCCACATTATATTCAGTGGTCATGTGTCCTTGAGTTCATCTTGGTTGTGACAGTTTGACTTTCCTTGATTTTGGTGACCTTGACAGTTTAGAATACTGGTTGGGTATTTTGTAGAATGACTGACAAATGATACTTGTCTGACATTTTTCTTATGGTTAGACTGGGGCTATGGGTTTTGGGGAGGAAGACCATAGAGATAGGGTGTCATTTTTTTTTTTTGAGGTGGCGTCTCACTCTGTCGCCCAGACTGTAGTGCAGTGACACGCTCCCGGCCACCGCAGTCCCGACCTGCTGGGCTCCGGCGATCCTTCCACCTCAGCCGTCCAAGTAGCCAGAACTACAGGTACGCACTACCACACACAGTTAATTTTTTTTGATTTATTGTAGAGATGAGGTCTCGCCAAGTTTCCCAGGTGGGTCTCGAACCCACGGGCTCAGGCAATCCACTCACCTCAGCCTCCCAAAGCTGAGATTACAGGCTGAGCCATTGAGCCCAGCTAGAATTCTTTTAAATAGACTTGTCTATCCTCTGCCATTACTTATACAGAATTATTTTTTTCCAGAGGTATATTCCTGAAGGAATTGTTGCTTTAAAAAATCAGAGTGGGGCGGGCTCAGTGGCTCAGCCTATAATCCCAGCACTTTGGGAGGCCGAGGTGAGTGGACTGCCTGAGCCCATGGGTTTGAGACCAGCCCAGGCAACTTGGCCAGACCTCGTCTCTACAATAAGTAAAAAAAAAAAAAAAATGTCCATGCATGGTAGTGCATGCCTATAGTTCCAGCTACTTGGAAGGCTGAGGCAGAAGGATCGCCAGAGCCCAGCAGGTCAACACTAGGGTGGCTGTGAGCATGCCACTGCACTCTAGCCTGGGCTGGAGTGAGACTCCAACTCAAAAAAAAAAAAAGATTGAGTCCTTTTTTTTGGTTAAGGAACATGTTCCTAGGTTCATAAATAAGGGCTTGAAACTGCACTCTTTGGGCAGTTTGGAATGACCAAAACAGGTGTGGTGTGGATGATTTCTGAGGTTTTTCCCAACTCTCAAATTCAGCTACAACTACTAATATTTACCTGTGTCTGTTTCTTGGAAGGCATTATTGCATATATCATCTCATTTGACCCCAGTCTATGATCACCCTCAAAAGGTACAAGAAATGCAATTGAGATGTCAGAGGCAGCTGTTTTGCTCACCTTATCCATGCTAGCTTGGTTCAGTCTCATAATGGAGGCATGAGCCAGGCGGTCATAGACAGTCCTCAGGGTCTTCTTGGAATAGAGCTCTTGAGGTTTGAATAATCCCTCCATAAACTTTCTGTTGAACATGGTCGAGATGATGTCGTTCATAACTGTAGAGACAAGAGAGAATACAGCTGAACAAGTTACGGAGGAAGTTCTTTATTCCAAGCGCACCTTGTTTACAGGTGGAAGAGCTGGGTGTGTACGATACAGAGCCGGGATGCTACCTACATGCTTGGTGAGATCGGCTCCCTGTAGGTCCATACAGGCGACCCAATAGAAAGCAGCACTCAGAGAGTGTTTTATGACACCATTTCAGGGCAGATGTAACTGATGATGAGATACCAATGTGTTGTGCTTCAGTGGTCATAAACCACTTTTACATACATTATTGCTCTTGATGACAAAAGAAATGTTTCTTCTTTCTTTAAATAAAATTCCTATAAGCATTTTAGATTAGATCTCTTCCTGAAAATGAGAAATAGCTTTTTAAAAAAGTAAATATAAGTATTTTTACTTAAAATTAGATTTTACAAAATGGGACCAGTAATGGCAATTGACTGGTTTTTTTTAAAAAACATTTATTGAATATAGACAAGGTGGCTGGGCTCAGTGGCTCAGCCTGTAATCCAAGCACTTTGGGAGGTGGAAGTGAGTGGATTGTCTGAGCCTGTGGGTTCAAGACCAGCCCGGGCAACTTGGCGAGACCTCATCTCTACAATTAAAAAAAAAATTAGCTGGGTGTGGTAGCATGCACCTGTAGTTCCAGCTACTTGGAAGACTGAGGTGGAAGGATCACTGAGGCCCAGCAGGTCGATGCTGGGGTGGCTGTAGCGTGCCACTGCACTCCAGCCCGGGTGACAGGGTGAGACTCCAAATCAAAAAAAAAAAAAAGAAAATAGACAAGTTTACCCTGGTTAGAGATTAAAACACCTGTAACGTTTCTACATGTATTTTGGATAGCACCATTTTAGAATGCCTAAATTTCTATATTTGATCTATAATATTGATATTATACTGTAGTGCTATATCTCATACTTTTGTTCAAATGAAAAATTTCCATCTGGTGAAAATTAAAAAGTGTGCAAACCAAAATGTCTATAATTTTAGACCTTTGTTTAGATATTTTGTCCTATTGAGTAAAATATCACTAGTTAAGGGATAGGAAAACCCTCTGGTATAAGAAATATTATCCTTAATTAAACCAGTTATTATGGCCTAAATGTGAGAGTATGTGGGTACCGAGAGAATACATTTGTAGAAATTAAAATGTGAAAGCAAAATGGATTACTTAAAATAATTATACAAAATCAATTTTTAAACAGGAGTGATCCTTACTGAAAGATATCAACTCCTCCTTATTTATTTATTTATTTATTCATTTATTTATTTATTTATTTTGAGTAAGAGTCTCACTCTGTAGCCTAGACTGGAGTACAGTGGCACGCTCACAGTCACAGCATCCTCGACCTGCTGGGCTCAGGTGATCATGCTGCCTCAGCCTTCCAAGTAGCTGGGATTACAGTCATGTGCCACAACTCCTCCTTCTTTTGCAGAATAAAAGGTGACTGACTATGGCCATGTATCTTTAGAATGAAGGCACAGTAGAGCCATGTGGTGACTATTTCAGGCATTCTCAGCCTGGAAGTAAAGTACCCTGAGGGCTCTGGTCAGTAAGTAAAAGTATCTCAGCCATTCACAGTAGCTCATATCTGCAATCCCAGCACTTTCGTTGGCCAAGGCAAGAGGATTGCCTGAGCCCACAGGTTTGAGACCAGCCTGGACTACATGGCCAGACCTTGTCTCTATAATAAATTAAAAAATTAAGGGCTGGGTGTGGTGGCTCACACCTATAATCCCAGCACTTTGGGAGGCTGAGGTGAGAGAATTGCCTGAGCCGACAGGTTAGAGACCAGCCTGGGCAACTTGGCAAGACCTCATCTCTACAATAAATCAAAAAATTAGCTGGGTGTGGTGGCATTTGCCTATAGTTCCAGCTACTTGGAAGGTTGAGGGGAAGGACTGCCTGAGGCTCAGTGGCCGTGAGCATGCCACTGCACAACAGCCCATTACAGCTTGTCCTCCATATTTACATTTCCCAGACCTAGACAACTTGGAGACACATGAACTCTTTGGTTTTGCCTCATGCCTGGCCTTTTTCTTTTGACAGAAACAAGCAAGGACCTACAATAAACTGGGTTTTCTCACTTTTTTTCTTACCATAGCCTATATAAAATGCAGAATTTGCAAGGATACAGGTACAACTGAAAAGCCACACATAAGTCCTCAAAAAAGACTATGAAGAATTTTCCACAGATTTATGTAGGCCAGGGAGGAGTGCCAAAGAGGAAGAATTCAAGTTAAAGCATCGCATCAACTCTGATTGGCTGATGCTTACAAAAAGCTACCAATTCACCTAGGTACTGAATAATTTCTCTAGAGTCTTTGAGTCCTTATAAGGATCTAGGAAAATACCTTAGACCCAAATAAGTGTGTCCTAAAAGAAAGAAAACCCCTAGGTGATTGTTAGCTGCTCTGGCAAAGTAAAAAGCAAAATGAAGCCTTTCCCCTGGGAAGTGAAGAAGCTACACATCACCATAGCTCCTGGCACAGGAGGTGCAGATAAGTCGCCTATTGGGAAGAGAAGATATCAGGATCTGTTCCTGTGAGCAGAGCAGTGAGTACAAATGTCCCCAAAGAAGAGATAGCAATTTAGTGGTTGGGCCCTGGCACCCAGAACTCCCATCTCATCGCCTTCTATGGAGGCACACATTACCATGTTATCTTCTCACAGTCTGCTGCACCTGGCACTTGACTGAGGCAGGCCTGTTATGTACCAGACACTGAGATCAACACAATGGGCACAGAGAGAAGGGAGAAATTAGCCTTGCCCTAGAAAAAAAGCACATCATATTTAAGTGAAACCCAAGAAACAGTTGTAATCAGACCTTTAGTCTGTCTTAGGGCTGGTTTTTGGTATGCAAATAAGTTCTGTAAACTTTTAGGAGGTGAGAATGTACTAGGAGCCAGATTTCATCAGGAAAAGGCTAAGGCAGGGGAGGGATGAGAGTTTTTTTTTTTTTTTTAGTTGGAGTCTCACTCAGTAGCCCAGACTGGAGTGCAGTGGCCGCTCCCGGCCACTGCAGCCTTGACCTGCTGGTCTCTCTGGCGATTCTTCCGCCTCAGTCTTCCAAGTAGCTAGAACGACAGGCGCGTGCTACCACGCCCGGCTAATTTTTAAAATTTATTGTAGAGATGAGGTCTTGCCAAGTTGCCCGGGTGGGTCTCGAACCCATGGACTCAGGCAATCCACTCACCTCAGTCTCCCAAAGCGCGGGATTACAGGCTGAGCCCTGCTGGGATGGGAGTTTTCACAGGTTCATCAGAAGGTTGGTAACTCATTTTTCTACATCAAGCTTCTTAGTCTTGGGTTCGGATTAAAAAGTCAGTTTCTTTCTTTCCTTTTTTTCCCTTTCCCTTTCTCTCTCTCTCTCTCTCTCTCTTTCTTTCTTTTCTTTGGAGAGGCAGTCTCACTATGTTGCCCATGATGGTCTCAAACTTCTGAGCTCAAGCAATCCTCCCACCTCTGCCTCTCAAAGTGCTAGGATTACAGTCGTGAGCCACTGCACCCAGCCAAGAAGTCAGTTCTGCTCATTATTTTTGAACATTTAAGTTAAAATAAATTCCAATTATTCAATTATGTATAATAAAAGCCCTCAAAATCCACACTTCACACTTGAAACTCTGCCATGTATCAAGGGATGAGTCAGAAATTGTTCAAGTAAAAAGTTCCAAAAAAGCCATGCAGTCACATGCTTCCATTTGTCTCGGTTGCTCAGCAGATACCTCTGTGTGCTAAGGAGAATGGCTTAGGGAGGACCACTCATGTTGAAGTATAATTCTTTGGTGACCTGATACTTTAACAAAGTTATTTCAATGATTACCAAGTAGGACTACCTGCCCAAAAGTATGGCTACTGCCCCAGCTGTCCCTGCAAAGCTTAGGACTGAAAAAAAGGAAACAGATCCCTCAGGTACAGTATGGCCCTTTTGTCAAAGTATGCTTAGTTTTCATCTTACATGCTGTTATTTATTCCTTTTAAGTAAAAGATTCGGATGTATAACCAATATCTCAACGAAAGAGACACTCATGCCTATTTTACTTTGCAATATTTAGAGTGGTCCCCTTTGAGCCCCACTATAAAGGCTCAAAGGGGATGCAGACTGAATACATGCAGCCCAGAGATAGCATACCTCGTTTTCTGTCCATCTCTCTCCATTCATCTACATGAAGCATATAAAAAGAAAACACCAGTTCATGAAGCAAGAACATTATTTTCATGGAGGCTTTACAAATACCAATTCTAATTATCTGATCTATGACACTTTACTTTTCATGTTTGCTTTTAATGTCTAATGCAAATATCCCAACTTCTATCTGAAGCTTTTAAAAGGATGATAGACAAAAAAAAGTTCCAAAAAAGCCCAAGGCTATGTCTTCTAGAGAGTGGCCTATGAAGAGCAGAAACTCAGGAGAATTAGCTACCCTGGGGCTCACCAAAGGCTCAGGAAGCCATGCTCTCTAATGCTACAAGAATACTCACTATTCAAAACCAAGCTTTTAAAGACACTAGCCTCCCTGAGAAAGAATAATTCCAAGAACAGGCAAGGAAAGGAGTTTCTTTGGGTACAATCTTATTTTTTATTAATGTAAGATTCCCTTTCTGGAGTACAGATGGAACTGCTCAAGTTAGAAAACTTGAAATGTGAATTAAAAGGAAAATATGTCAGTATTTGTTCCTGCTTTTCTGTTATATATACATGCCTGATTTCCATGTAAAAAGAAGGGAATAATGATGAGAACACTGTAAAGAAAACTGTTGAGAGCAAAGGCAATCAGGGAGACTCCAAAAGGAGAGGAAATAAGGAAAAGTGCAGTTGGCTAGAAAAATCTGTAAGAAATCAAGACCCTTTATGGGTTCAGACATAGTTCCATCACTTTTTAGCTATGTAAACTTCAAACAACTTTTTTTTTTTTTTTTTTGAGTTGGAGTCTCACTCTGTCGCCTAGGCTGGAGTACAATGGCACGCTCATGGCCACTGCAGCCTCATTCTGCTGGGCTCAGGTGACCCCTCCGCCTTAGCCTTCCAAATAGTTAGAACCACAGGCATGTGCAAACAACTTCTTTAACCTCAGTTTCTTCATCTGTAAAATGGGGCCATGACAGTACCTACCTCACAGAGTTGTTTTGGGGACAAATGGATAATACACATCAAACACTTAACTAGCTCCCCTTCTGGTTCTGCTTTCTCTACTGAAGGGCATTGGATACCATCCACCAAGGATGAAAAGTTATTTTGTTCTTTCCTTAATTTTTAGAGATTTCAATCTAGAAAAATTACCCCCAGATAAAGAGTTCTACACATATCCATATTTTTAAAAAGTTTTGTAATTAATAGTCTTTGCTGGAACCATTTGCCAGTAGATTGTTTCTGAAGTTATAATCTAAGTCATATACATGACTTTGTTTTGAGCTGGGGATTGCTCTGTTGCCCAAGCTGGAGTACAATGGCAATCATAGCTCACCACAGCTCAGGTGATCCTTCCATGTCAGCTAAGTAGCTGAGACTACTGGTGTGCAACATTACGCCCAGTTAATGCTTTTATTTTTTGCAGAGACAAGGTCTTGCTATGTTGCCCAGGCTGGTCTCGAACTCCTGGGCTCAAGGAATTCTCTTGCCTGAGCCTCCCAAAGTACTGAGGTTGCAGATGTGAGCCACCACACTAGGCCCTATACATGCTTTTTAATACACAACTGGTGCCGGGTACTGTGGCTCAAGCCTGTACTCCCAGCACTTTAGAAGTCCAAAGCGAGAGGATTGTCTGAGCTCAGGGGTTCAATACCAGTCTGGGCAACTTAGCAAGACCTTGTTTCTACAATAAATCAAAAAATAAGCCGGGTGTGGTAGTGCATGCCTGTAATTCCAGTTACTTGGAAGGCTGAGGCAGGGAAGGATCACCTGAACCCAGCAGGTCGAGACTGTGGTGGCCATGAGTGTACCACTGTACTCTAGCCTAGGCAACAGAGTGAGACTCTGACTCAGGAAAAAAAAAAAATGCCAGGCATGGTAGCGCGCACCTTATAGTTCCAGATACTTGGAAGGCAGGTTTGCCTGAGTTGCTGTGGCTGTGAGCGTGCCACTGCACTCCAGTCTGGGTGACAGAATGAGACTCTAACTCAAAAAAGAAAATAAGAGAAAAAAATACACAACTGGCACATGGCCTCAATACATAATACCAACAGCTCCCTAGACCAGTCGGAAAGCATGCCCAGTACCACACCTTAACTGGCTGCATGGGGTCTCCATTGCAAGATCAGACTACTCTAGAAAAATTCACCATCTTTCCCCACCAAGAGTACTGGGCTTTTGGAGAGAAAGTATCAGGAGAACAGCACCAGGAGCCCGGCCTTATACTGTTTTCTTGTGAATTATGTTCCACATCTTCTATTTTTCGGCAGCCATTTATTTAACTGTTGGCTTGTGGGAATTCAGGGAGGGGGAGTTTTGATCCGCTTGAGTGTGTGTTTGGGAACAGTCATGCTGCAAGAGGCTCATCTCTGAGGGGCAGTGAGTGCCTTGTTGATACAAAGGAACTAACTGGTAACTGCAAACCCAGAAGTACTGAGGCCCCGAGGGCAACCAGGCTCAGTTCCAACAGGGGTCTCTGCTGTGCTGTGTGCTCCCTACTCCTTTTCTCCTGAGGATCCAGGGAAGGGAAATGCCCTGTTTTTCTATTACTTCCTCAGATGACTTATTTATGACAATTCCACTTTAATTACATTTTGAGTGGAAGACAGGTCCCAGGTTATCCAGAGCTGGCTGTTAAACTGGAACTAGAAAAACAAAAAGCAGAACCTTGCCTGAGCCCATGGGTTCGAGACCAGCCTGGGCAACTTGGTGAGACCTCATCTCCACAATAAATCAAATAATTAGCCGGACGTGGTGGCGCATTCCCCTAATTCCAGGTACTTGGAAGGCTGAGGCAGAAGGATCACTTGAGCCCAGCAGGTGGAAGCTGTGGTGGCTGTGAACATGCCACTGCACCCCAGCCTGGGTGACAGACTGACTCCAATTCAAAAACAAAAACAAAACAGAACCTCACTGCCATTTGGTTGCTCAACACTATACTGTGATGTGCACATTTTGGAAAAATCATTTTGTGGCCCGTGCCTCAACTTCCTCTCCTGTAAAATGAGAAATGAAAGCAAAATGTAGGAGTCTTATTTATGAAAACATTTTTTTGAGACAAGGTTGTGTTCTGTCACCCAGACTGGAGTGGGTGATGCGATCGTGGCTCATTGCAGTCTCAAACTCCTGGGCTCAAGTGATCCTTGTGGTTCAGCTTCCCAAAGGCTGGGATTATAGGCCTAAGTCACTGTGCCCAGCCTTATTTATGAACTTGCTCTTTTTTTGAGTCAGAGTCTCACTCTGTCGCCCAGGCTGGAGTGCAGTGGCATGCTCACAGCCACTGCAGCCTCGGCCTACTGGGCTCAGGCGATCCTTCTGCCTCAGCCTTCCAAGCAGCTGGAACTATAGGCATGCGCCACCACGCTTGGCTAATTTTTTGATTTATTGTAGAGATGAGGTCTCACCAAGTTGCCCAGGCTGGTCTCGAACCCGTGGGCTCAGGCAATCCTCTCACCTCAGCCTCCCAAAGTGCTGGGATTATAGGAGTGAGCTACCACGCCCAGCAATTTATGAATATTTTTAAGAGGATGCAAGTGAGGCAAAAGTAGCTTTTATTATTCTTGCTATTGCTTAAAACATGGGACAACATTCAATACGCAACACTCCAAAGTTGCCCCACAGAGAGAGCACTTCCTTTCTGTTGAATGCTAAACTAGACACTGTATTGTGGGGGGAAACTGCAACATCTGCACTGGCTTTGTAGGAACAGGGATGGCCTCCAGGAGACCAATTAGTTGTGTAAAATAATGAAAACATCTAGAAGAAATATGATTTCCATTCGAAGCCTCCATAGGAACTAGTTTACTGAGTCTGGTGTTTTCTAGGCTCCTGTGTCCCTGCATCTGTTACAGAGGCTCCCGCTCCTACAGCCACACCAACCATGAACGGTGGATTAGGTGGAATAGATGAATGTTTCTCAGCTTTGTGAATCCTGCTTTCTCACTTTCTATCTTACAAATCTCCAGCAACCGACTAATTTCTTGCTTTTATAAGATCAGTGGGTATACTGGATATATTTTTTTTCAAACTCCACCCTCTCCTCCTGATCTGTCAACTCCCACAAAGATTTTGATACAGTCCCTGCCTCCACCCTTCATGGCAGCATAGTGCAGTGGTTAAGGGCATATTTATTAAGAGTATAAGCCTTGGAGCTTGATGCCCTGGGTCCAAATCCTTTACTTCTCTTATCAGCTATGTAACTCTGGGCAAATTAGCCTTAGCTTTCTCATCTGTAAAATGGGGATAGTAATATTACCTATGTGCTAGGCTAGTTGCAAGGATTAAGGTGTTTAAGAGGAGTCCTTGGCACAGGTTAAGTGCATAATCTTTTATTGTTTTCACTATTGATTGTTGTTGTCATTAGGAAGGTATGTCCCCCAGTTTTAGTATCAGTTGCTGGAGTGGACTGATCAATAGCCCTACTTTCAGGAACGTGCTGAAGGGCTGGGTCAGGTTCCATCCAGTATGTTACATGGTGTTTGACACTCAACCAAAATCTGTAGAATGAATGAGTGTGTGAATGTAAATTATCATAACTGAATCTAGCAAAACCTAAAGAAGGACCCCAACTCCTAAAGACAAAGCTGTCTCCTAGTGTTCAGAGGGCCTTGCCCAGACCTCTACTTTAAAGATAACACCTATCACTCGTTGTGCTAAACATTATCTCATTCAGTCATTACAACTTTGCTTTAGGGTGTGTATTATCATTATCATTTTATGGAGAAAGAAACAGGCTTACAGAGGTCATGCAATTAGTTAAATGGCAAAACTGGAATTGGGACCCAGGTCTGTATGACTCCAGATAGTACGCTCTTAATTGCTAATTTACACTGTATTTTAAGATGCAGACTACCAGTCTGAAGATCCTGACCTGTCACCTCACTGTTGCCATTAGCCTGAATGAAATCAGACATAGGCACCGAGGAAAACAGAACTCTTTTCGAAGAAGAAATGACAGTGCCATCTAAAACTGCCAATTTACATCATGAGTTCAACAAATGTTTGTTGGGCACTAATTTATGCTGGTCTAGGAATTATGCTAAGTGTTGGAGTACAAAGATGAGTAACACAATCCAGTCGAGGAGACAGACATGTACACAGATCAATTCGTTATAGTAACAGTCAGTGATAAGGTGGAGAGAAGCAAGCATGGGGTGTTATGGGAGCACAGGGTGCTAGGAGAGTATGGACAGGGCCCTTTCCCACATGCGGAGGCCTCTGGAAGAAAATGACTTCTTTTTTTTTTAGTTGGAGTCTCACTCTGTTGCCCATACTGGCACACTCATGGCCGGCCACCCCAGCGTCCACCTGCTGGGCTCCGCGATCCTTCTGCCTCAGCCTTCCAAGTAGCTGGAACTACAGGCATGCGTTACCACACCTGGCTAGTTTTTTTGTTTAGCGTAGAGGTGAAGTCTCACCAAGTTGCCCAAGCTGGTCTTGAACCCCTGGGCTCAGGCAATCCTCTCACCTTGGCCCCCTAAAGTGCTGGGGTTACAGGCTTGAGCCACGATTAGCCGGCTGAAAATGACTTCTAAAGTGAATAATGCTGGATAGAAGGAAGAATGGAGGCATGGGGATTATTAGCATGGAAACATGAATGAGCATGTTTTAAGTGGAGATCTACAAACACTTTGGAATTATTGGAATAAAAAATAGGAGGCAGGCAGTGGTGAGAGATGGACTGCAGAAGTGGACAGAGATCAGATCAGAAAGGGTTCTGAAATGGCCTTGATCCAGACACAAGTGGAAAGGTAAGTAAAGGTTTTAAGCAGAAGTATGGGCAGCTCTGTATTTTTAGAAAGCTCACTGGCAGCAGTGTGCAGAATGTCTTTTTTTTTTTTGAGTAGGAGTCTCACTCTGTCACCTAGACTGGAAGGCAGTGGCACGCTCCCGGCCACCACAGCCTTGACCTGCTGGGCTCTGGCGATCCTTCCGCCTCAGCCTTCCAAGTAGCTGGAACTACAAGCACACACCAACACACCTGGCTAATTTTTTGATTTATTGTAGAGAAGGGGTCTCACCAAGTTGCCCAGGCTGGTCTTGAACCTGTGGGCTCAGGCAATCTTCTCACCTAGGCTTCCCAAAGTGCTGGGATTATAGGCATGAGCCACCCTGCCCGGCCAGCAGTGTGCAGAATGAAGAGCATATGTTACAGGGAGTTGTTTTTTTTTTTTTTTTTTTGAGTTGGAGTCTCACTCTGTCACCCATGCTGGAGTGCACTGGCATGTACATGGCCACCGCAGCCTTGACCCTGCTGGGCTCAGGCAATCCTTCCGTTGCAGCCTTCCAAATAGCTAGAACTACAGGCACGCACTATCAAGCTCGGCTTATTTTTAAAATTTATTTCTAAAGACAAAGTCTCACCAGGTTGCCCAAGCTGGTCTTGACCCCCTGAGCTTAGACAATCCTCTTGCTTCAGCCTCCCAAAGTGCTGGAATCACAGGCTTGAGCCCCTTGCCTGGCGGGGAGTCCTTTCTATCTCTTTATGCATGGACTTGAACTCAATCACATAGACACAGTAGTTAATATCTGAAAATGTATACTTAGTATCTGAATATGTATGCTTAACACCTGAATATGTATGTTTAACATCAATTGAGTATACAGAGACTTTTGTAGAGAATGTATTAATCAGTGGCCATCTCAACTGCCTTTATATCAACGTTTTCCTTCTCTACCTTGAAATATAGTATTTCCTTCATGCTTTATTTTTTTTTTTTGAGTTGGAGTCTCACTCTGTCACCCAGGCTGGAGTGCAGTGGCATGCTCATGGCCACTGCAGCCCTCAACCTGCTGGGCTCAGTTGACTCTTCTGCCTCAGCCTTCCAAGTAGCTGGAGCTACAGGTGTGCACCACCATGCCCAGCTAATTTTTTTTTTTTACTTTTGTAGAGACAAGGTCTCGTCATGTTGCCCAGGCTGGTCTCGAACCTGTGGGCTCATGCAATCCTCTCGTCTCCACCTCTCAAAGTGGGATTACAGGAGTGAGCCTGGCTTCCTTCATGCTTAATCCCAGGAAATTTGGTGAAAGTAGTTGTTTGCTGAGAAGGGTGGAAAAGAGGAAAAAGAAAAGAGTGGCAGAGTGTTCTGAGTGGTTATTTCTCTAGATTAGATGTGGTGTATATAGGAGTCAGATTTTGCCTTTTAGAAGCTCTCATATAATTATTTTCATAAATGCATTCCCCTCTAACACTTGTGAAGGGAAAAGCTTATGATTTTCTTATATTTTATTATTTACCTCTATTATTTTAGATCCCTATATTTCTTTCTTTCTTTCTTTCTTTTTTGAGTCAAGATCTCACTGTATTGCCCACACTGGAATGCAAAGGTACAATCACAGTTCACTGCAGCCTGGATTCGGGTGATCCTCCTGCCTCAGCATGTGGGAGTAGCTGGGGCTACAGGTGCATACCACCATACCCAGCTAATTTTAAAAACATTTTGTAGAGACAGGGCCTTGCTATATTGCCTAGGCTGGTCTCCAACTCCTGGGCTCAAGCAATCTTCCTGCCTCAGCCTCTGAAAGTGCTGGGATTACAGGAGTGAGCCACTGTGCTCGCTGAACTCTACATTTCTAGAAGCAGCTTCTGAAAGGAGCAAGACTATAGTCTCCAGCTTATGTGGGAGTATATTACGTAGAGGAATAGAGAATAAGAAACTGTTCCTTGGGAGTAAAGAGAGAGCTTGGACAAGCAAAGGGTATATTGCCAGTTGGTGGGCAGCTGCTGCGACTCCTACATTGGAAGGAACCGGTTGTCAAAAGAGATTGGGAGTCACCTCTCCTATCTGAAGAGATGGGGAAATTAGCGGGGACGAGGTGCCTTAATTATAACCAATGGCGGTATTCGGTTCCTCTGCTGTGAAATGATATTTTGAAGAATCTGACTCCTGAGGAGCTCCAACCGGGAGCTGTGGCTTGTGACAACGGTTCCTGGCTATAAGAGTGAAGTATGCAGGGGTGTTGGTGGCTGTGGGTGTTAGGGCGGCGGTGAGGGAGCCGGGCTGCTGGGTGCGGGTCTGGGCTGTGCGGGCCGGGGGCCTCTCACCTTTGCGGGCCTTGTCTCCTGGGATGTTCTCGGCCCGCAGCCGCTGGTCCAGGATGTACAGCATCTCCCCGCCCAAGTTCAAGAAGAGCAGCGGCAGAGTCCGCATGGACATGGTGCTGGAGGCGAGCGGGGCTGGAGAAGAGGCTCGGGATTCAGACGCCTGCGGCCTGGGGGCCCCGTGGTTGCGTCCCAGCAGCCTGGTTGCTAGGGCAACGCCTCGACGGGAGAGGGGAGCCAATCAAAAGGCGGTTTGGTGGGAGGTGCCCTGAGAGCGGGCTCTCACTGGGCGCGGCGGAACTGGTTGGGCCGGACGCGGCGCGGCGTTGGCCCCCGCGGGTGGGCGCTGGTTTTGACTCCTTAAGTCCACTTGGGAAGGGCGAGGCTGGGTTGGAGTCCCCACTGCGAGCTCGGGGCTCCGGACGCAGACGCGTGGCCTCAGGTGCCCACAAGAGAGGAAAGCCAAAACTGAATGTCATCAGGGCACGCTCGGGTTGGACGGAGCTGGGTGGGCCTCACGGTCGCTGTTTCCTCGCCGTGTGACTTTGACGGGGTTTTCGGCTTCTACCTCCTCTGATGTGAAATGGGAGAAACACCCCCCTCTCAGGGCTGCTGAGAGGGGTCAGTGAGATCACGGAAAACGCCCCGAAAGCACTCAATAGAAGTGGTGGCTTAGATGGGGAGGACCCAGAAGCTCTTGGAGTCATCTGCATTGCCTCCCTACTGTGTGCTTGAAATCGTCTTGCTTTCGTGCTGCGTGAAGCCCGCCTGTCCGGAAGTTCCCTGCTCCACGCTGTTTATAAAAAATAAAAATGTATAGCAGATGGCTAGAAAGTGATCCGGGAACTCAAGATGGAGGTGAAGAAGGGAGTCTGCTCTCAACGCCTGGGATTACAGGTGTGAGCCACCGCGCCTTGCTGCTGTACACTTTTACTTCGATGAACAACTTTCTGTAAATGTCAGTACTTTTTGTTCTGTTTTAGAGACCGTGTCTTGCTGTGTCGCCCAAGCTGGAATGCGGTGGCTGTCATAGCTCACTGCAGACTCCATATCTGGCATCCTCCCACCTCAGCCTCATGAGTAGCTGGTTCTACAGGAACGCCACCACGCCCAGCTAATTTTTTATTTTTATTTTTGTAGAGACAGAGGTCTCACTATGTTGCCCAGGCTGGTTTTGAATTCCTGGCTTCAAGTGATCTTTTGCCTCTGCCTCCCAGTGTTAGAATTACAAGTGTGAGCCACCACGCCCAGCCTAAATGTCAGGACTTATAACTTGGCTCCCAAATCTATCTTCCTGGGCCCTTATCTGTTACCAACTTGTGCTTTTTTCTCCAAAACTTTTCTTACATTTATCCCTTCATTTCTTTTTCTATCTACATCACTATGTGCCTCTATATTTCTGCTCTTTTCTCTCTTCTACCCTGCACTGCCTGCTAGGCTAAATTTCAGAAATATGAAATATCCCTTCAGTGGCTTCCTACGTTTGCCAGATTACAGTCTGGATGCCTTGGCAGGGCATTCCAGACTCTGTTTTGGCTCCAGCTACATTACCTCTTTAGAGCCATCCCTTGCACCTGGCCACCCCCACTTCCTTCCCATACCCTCTCATCTGTTTTCCTTCCTCCCCAGCCAAGGATTTTTTTTTGAGTTGCAGTCTCACTCTGTCGTCCAGGCTGAAGTACAGTGGCACACTCATGACCACCCCAGCATCGACCTGCTGGGCTCAGGCGATCCTTCCGCCTCAGCCTTCCAAGTAGCTGGAAATACAGGTGCACACTACCACACCCGGGTAGTTTTTTGATTTATTGTAGAGACAGATCTCGCCAAGGTGCCGAGGCTGATTTTGAACCCATGTACTCAGGCTGTCCACTCACCTTGGCCTCCCAAAGTGCTGGGATTATAGGCTGAGCCACTGAGCCCAGCCAGTTTTTTTTTTTTTAAAATAGTCTACACTCACAACTGGAACTTCCTTAAAATCGTTGTTCCACACCTCACTACAACTGGATTAAGCTCCACACTGAAACTGCTTCCCCATGAGTACTTTTTAGTCTTTCCCTTAACTGACGACTCAGTATCAGGATTACACAGTAGTCCAATGCTGGTGGCCTAAGGCTTTGATTTGGTTATTTTGCCTGGTCTGTGCTGTTTTAAAAGGGAATATAACTAGAATGGGAATGTAATAAACAGCTTAGCATTACTACCTTATGTTGGGCCTTCAGGCATTTATATTACCTGCCTGGCTCCTAAAGGCATTTTAGTTTGTTGTAGTGTAGACTCCTCTCTTAGCTTCTCAGACCATTTTTTCTTTGTCCCTAGGCAGTGTGGTCTAATGGACAGAACATGGGCTTTGGAGTCAAGACAAAGCTGGATTTGAACACTGGACCTATCTCTAACTGACTGTGTGCATTTGGACAAGTTATCTAACTTTCTGAACCTCGGTTCTCTTCTGGTAAAATGAGGATTATTAGCCAATGTGAGGAGTAAAGGTGGCTTTGAGTATTACACAGTGTGCCTAAGGCAGCACTTAACCCAATGCCTTTCCTGTGGGGCCTGATCCATTTAAGTGTGTTCTTTTCTCTTCCTCCCCTCTGCCAGCCTCCTTAAATGTTGGTACCCCACATAATGAAGGTGGCCTCTCCCTTTAGCATAGCACTCCTAAGTAGCCATGCCCACTCAGAAGTCCTGCCCCATTAAAGGCCTTCCCTGCTATTCCTGGAATCTTGCCTTTCACTTCTACAGAATCCTTGGCTCTGTCCTACATCACTTCATCTCTCCATTCACCCTGGCCCTTCCTGTTGACTCAGGCTATGCCCTCAGGGATCATCCTTCCCATTTTGACTTGGCTTTTTCTTCTTTTTTTTTTTGAGTTGGAGTCTCACTCTGTCACCCGGGCTGGAGTGCAGTGGCACACTCACAGCCACTCCAGTATTGACCTGCTGGCTCCAGCGACCCTTTCGCCTCAGCCTTCCAGGTAGCCAGAACTACAGACACATGCTACCATGCCTGGCTAATTTTTTGATTTATTGTAGACGAGGTCTCACCAAGTTGCCTGGGCTGGTCTTGAACCTTCAGGCTCAGGCAATCCACTTGCTTTGGCCTCCCAATGCTGGAATTACAGACTGAGCCACTGAGCCCGGCCCTTTTTTCTTCTTCTACACTTTCTGGACAATTTCACTTACACCCATGGCTTCAATCATCCTAACAACTCCCAAATCTCTCTAGTTAAGACTTCTCTACTGGGTCCTGATCTAAACTTCTGACTGCTCTTTGAATAGCACTTTAACACGTTTCTCCTTTTGGTTTTCCTCCCAGAATGAAGTCATCTTTTCTCCAGTGTTATGGTCTAATGCTTGTGTCCCTCACAAAATTTCTATATTGAAGCCCTAACTCTGCTGTTTTGGTAGTTGGCAGAGGTGGGGCTTTTTGGAGGTAACTGAGGTTAGCTTAGGTCATGAGGGCGAGGCCCTTATGATGGGATTAGTGGTCTTATGAGCGAGATCTCTCTCCCCATGCAGGCACCAAGGAAAGGCCATGTGAAGATATATCGTGAAGGTGGCCTTTCCAAGTCAGGGAGTCCTCACCGGAAATCAGCTCAGCTGGCACCTTGATCTTGTACTTCCCAGCCTCCCATCCTGTGAGAAAACAAATTTCTGTTGTTTCAGCCACCCAGTCTGTGATACTGTTACCAGTCTGAGCAGACTAATAGACCCCAAAACCTCAACATCATCTGGTGTCTGTCTACCCCTTTGGCCTCATCTCTTCCCACTTTTCTCTTTGCTCAGTTTTAGACACATTGTCTTCCTTGGCTTCTTCAAATATACCAAGCACACTGAGGCTTCAAGGTATTGACACTTAACATGGTGTAAATTGGTGGGCTTTATGGGAAAGGGGCTATCCATGACCCCCCAGAATTTATAAGCAATGCTTTGTGTATTTAGTTTCCTGGGCATGACTTTTTTTTTTTTTTTTTGAGTTGGAGTCTCACTCTGTCGCCCAGACTGAAGTGCAGTGGCCGCTCCTGGCCACCGCAGCCTCGACCTGCTGGGCTCCAGCTATCCTTCTGCCTCAGCCTTCTGAGTAGCTGGAACTACAGGTGCACGCTACCACGCCCAGCTAATTTTTTTGATTTATTGTAGAGATGAGGTCTTGCCAAGTTGCCCAGGCGGATCCTTCCAAGTAGCTGGAAAATTAGCAACCACGCCCAGCTAATTTTTTGATTTATTGAAGAGATGAGGTCTCGCTGCCCAGGCGGGACTCGAACCCGCGGGCTCAGGCTGAGCCACCGAGCCCGGCTGTTTGATTTTTTAAAAATTAGATTCTCGATTCTCATTCTGAACACCAATATCCCTACCTCAAAACATTAAATTGCTCTGATCTTTTTCCCTCCCATCTATCCTCCATGTAGCTGTTGCTTAACTAGCTAAAACACAGAACTGTTATCACTTTTTTGGTTTTAACTGTCTCTCTACTCTCTAGAGGACAGTGTGCAATCTTGTCAGCCTAGTATGCAAACCTTCTTGTATGTCAGTGCTGCCAGCTGCAGCTGGCCTTTCAAGTTCTCTTTTTTGTTTTTTTGGAGTTAGAGTTATCAACCAGGCTGGAGTGCAGTGGCACACTCATGGCCACCACAGTCTTGACCTGCTGGGTTCAGGTGATCCTTCCACCTCAGCCTTCCAAGTTGCTGGAACTACAGGTGTGTGCCACCACGCCTGGCTAATTTTTTTTTTTTTTTTTGG